ACGACTGCGGCCAAGTTGAATCTGTAACCTCACCTCAGATGGGGGATATTTTTGCCGAGGCTTCAATTCTAACAGCCAGGGGACATGATCAATGTCATCACCAGCGGCGAGAGTAGCAAGGACGACGCCGTTGCAATGGGCAGAGAATCAGTGCCTGAGATGGAGGAACTGAATTCATTCTCAATTAACAGATCGGCCATGAAAGACAAGAATTGAGACACACAATCGATGAGGAATTTGGGGAAAGCCACTGGTTGAATGAAGGCGAACAGATGAAAGAAACCAAAGGAGGAGAGGATTTGGCGGAGAGAACAAGGAAAGCACAATAGGTCTGGTCTTGAATGATTGATTCAGTATCTTTGTGCATATATGCAAGCTGGCCGTGAAGGAGAAAGGGGCTCCTCGATACGCTATTGATGACCGCGAACCCAGTCTCTCGATTGTTCCCTTGCTTCCTGAGTCTGGATGCCTTGGAAAGGTTTAAGGGCTTGTTTAGTCTTTCCCTTTTTTTAAAATTTTTTTTATTTATTATGTGGCATAATAATATCCTACTACTCGTCCGATCCTTAATATAAGACCCATTTAATTAATTTGATTAGATTAAGAAGTTAGGTAAATTAATTAATTATAAGAAAAGTGACACATTTTTCCTAAAACACAATAATCATCTTTCTTAATATCTATCTCCGTCTTCTACTTGATTATAGTTGAGGGAGTATTCATAGGGGTAATTTAGAGAAAATTGATAAATATGATAAATGGGTCTTATATTTAGGACCAAAACCAACTCAAGAATTAGGTCATATATTAAGGACCAGAGGAGTATCTTCTATCCTTAATATAATATAAGAGTTTGTTTGATTTTTATTTTAGTCTTAAATATAAGATCTCAATTCACTTTATCTCTCATATTTATCTTTTTTTTTAAGGTAGTCCTTGTAATAATGATAATTATAACCAGTACACTTGATTAGCAATGATATTTAAAAAAAACATCTATTTATTATAAATAACTAATATAACTAATTTTTTTAATCTACTCAAATCAGTGAATTAACTTTTATATTAAGAATAGGAGGTAGTATATGGCAGAGCCACATCATCAGAATAGTTTGGTCAACTAATGGTTAACCGCTGGGGCTTATTAAGGGAGGACGCCATTGCTATATTTTTAATACTTTCAGGGCAACATCACTCCAAAAAAAAAAAAAATTCTGGTACCCACAAGTTTTTTGTGAAAACTTCGGGAGCAAGAGCGGCCTTTAACCCTTTGCCTAATTTGGATGTAAATTAAGAAAACTATGTTTAAGAAAGTTGACCTTATGCCAATAGTAGAAGTAGAAATAGTAAAACGAAAGAATACCATAGAAAGAATACCATCTATTCATGTCTGCTTTTTCAACCAAAAAAAAAAACAAAATAATCAAATTGGAATTTGTTTAACCAAATTCAAACTTAATGCTGCAGGTTTTACAACAAATGGGTGAGGAACAAATTTATCCATTATGGTATTTAAAAGGAGCATCAAGCACAAAAATAAGATGTTGAGTACAAAAATACTCATGATGATTAAAAAAGAAAAAATAACCATAAAATACCATATGAATTTTAAAAAGACAAAGAAGGCATCCAAATAAACAAAATGACAAAGAAGGCATCAAGTACTAATATGAAATTTTGATTTTTGGCCTAAAGACCGAAATGTCCATATTATTACAAACATACATAGTAGGATTTACAACGTTCATTGTGAGAGTTACAACTTTGTCAATAGGTTTTACAATATGTTTTGAGAAGCAGGGCAACTTTTCTGTAAACAAACAATATAATTCCACACTGAATTTTAGAAAACACATAGTGGGATTTACAACTTTCATAGTGAAAGTTACTATTTCATCAATAGGTTTTGCAACCTGTTTTGAGGTGTTGGGCAACTTTTATATAAAAAACAATATAATTCCATGCCAAATTTTACAAAACACATAGTGAGATTTACAACTTTCATAGTGAGATTTACTACTTCGTCGATGGGTTTTGTAATATATTTTAAAGAGCTAGGCAACTTTTCTGTAAAAAAAACAATACAATTCGACGTTGAATTTTACAAAACACATAGTAAGATTTACAACTTTCATAATAAGAGTTACTACTTTATTAATGGGTTTTGCAACCTGTTTTGAGGGGTTGGACAAATTTTCTGTAAAAAACATAATAAGAACATTTCGGTCTTTAGGCCAAAAATCAAAATTCCATATTAGTATCTAGTGCCTTTTTTGTCATTTTGTTTATTTAAATGTCTTTTTGTCTTTTTAAAATTCATATGGTATTTTGTAGTCCTTTACTCGTTAATAAAAAGGCCTTAAAATGTCATTGCCATTAAATTTGTTAAATCCCCATTCATTTCAAGTTGTGAGCCCACTATTTGTCTAGCTGTACTCCATCCTAATAATTTTAACTGTATAATGTATCCAACCTCTCCCATTTTTACCTTAGCCTCTTCCCTTTCAATTTTCACGCCTCCCTCTCATGCCTTCCACACTATTGTCAGCGACATTGAGCATAATCCAGTGCAACTGTAGTTGCATCAACCAATGGCAAAAGGGATTGCAACCGGCACCAAATTTAGGGGAACAAAGAGAATCAGTGATGACGGAGTAGGCAACAAGGAATGAGAGGAGAGAGAAAGCAGGGCGGTTGAAATCGGCGAGGGTCATGAGAGAATTAGAGGGAGAATGAAGCAAGATGGAGGCAAGGGCGTGGATGTAAGAGCGAACCTCAAAAATGGGTTTGCCCGTCTCATATGCATGGCAAAATTAGGTGGTCCCACACTATTACTAAAATGAACGCCCCATGTCCCCATTGCCTTTAGTTTCAGGTAACAAAACATTTTCTTTGCCTGGTTCGTATTACCTCAAGCACTACCTTGCTGAAAAACATGATATCGTCGATCGCGATCCATCAGCAAGCTAAGAGCAGGGGCTGTTAACTGGTTTAGCATCAGTTGGATCTGACTTCATGGTGATTCGATTACAGCGAAGGGATTCGGGGTCAATGTCTCCTATATATAGTTGCTTATTTTTATTTTCTATGAGTAAATTTGGGGAAGAGAAGATTGGATAGGTAGGTAGAAATGTTGTTGAATCATGAATATTTCTGCATCTAATATTTTATTATAATCCCTGGTGCTCATTTTAAATATTACAATATATAGGTAAATTTACCTTTTACCCTTCAACAAATTTAAATTTGATGCATCAAATTTGATTTTGCTTATTTTATTGCCACAATGAAAAGCTTAATTCAAATTTGAGCATAATCAAACTCCATTAAAAGATGTTGTAACTAACTCCTAAATGCTCAAAGATGATTTTTATCATATTATACATGCTAGAACCAAGTCCTAGATACTCAAAGAATCTCATTTAAAGTCTGTTTGGCTCAATGAGAGGAAGGGAAGGGGAGGGATTTTAATGGAGGGAAGGGGAGAGGAGGAAAGTGGAAAGATTTTAATATTACCTTGTTTGGATTTATAAAAAAGAAGGGGAGGAGAGGAGTTTTAATATTACCTTGTTTGGTTTATGAGGGGAAGGAAGGGGAAAATATTTTGACATGAATAATTTCGCCCTTATTTTATTTAAGATTATTTTTTCAAATTTTATGGAATGTTTAATAAAATAGAATTGTAAATAACATTTAATATATTGAGTAATACTTATACCAAAATTTTAATATACTTTAGAGCATGAAATATTATTGAAAAGAAGGCTGAAATAATGTTCAGCCACAACTTGTACTGTATCACATCTTTTAATAAAATATTTGGTCAAACAAATAAGCTCATTAGACGTGGGACCTCATTTTTATCTATTTTTATCTTTATGGCTACAAAGCTCCGAAGATTTAAATTTTGACATATAAAATTATCTATGTCAACATTTAAATCCTCAAAACTTTGTTCATTGAATTGCCTATTTTATCTTTCAAATTTCATATTTACATGCAAAGGAGAGAGTAGTGTCTGGAGACAAAAAGAAAAATATTTAGGGTAGTATAGGTATATTAAAAATAAATATAGGCATAATGGTCACAACATGGTAAAATATTACCCTGTCCCTTCAAATCCTCCCAATTTTAGAGGGGAGGTTGAAAAAATTTTCCCTCCCCTCCTAAAATTTGTGTGTTGCCAAACAAGGAGAAATGATTAAAATCCTTCCCCCTCCCTCTCCTCCCCTCCCCTCCAAATCTCTCATACCAAATGCACCCTTAAGAGACTGGAAACTCAAATTCCTCATTGACTATGTCTATTGTAAAACCAAAAAAAAGCGCCACTATTTATCTTTGTTTTTTCAACCAAAAAAAAATGTTGTGGTTTGATGTGAGCATGTCAAAAGAAAAAGTCGTGAAAAAATCACCTCATCTAGCATATAGGTTTATATGGGTGTGAGCTAGTAAAGTCTCACATTGACTAATTTCTTAAAGAATTCAAGTGAATATTACCAATAAATAGATAGTGATTGGTGTTAGCCAAAATGCACCAAACTCTTGAAATTTTGCACTTTTCTTTTTCTTCTTCATTTTATCTTTTGCTTATTTACATTTTTTATATTTTTGTTGTTTTGTTCCCCTACTCCTGGCAAGGAGGGTTTGTTTTTACTATGTGGCAGAATAACCCTTATAGATAGTACCTACAGGCATGATTCAAACCAAGTTAATATTTTACTTTATTTTACTTTTATATGTTTATAGGTAACTCCAACAAAAAATGGAGTTGGGTTGCAATGCCAAATTTCTGTCAGTGGCATCTGTTTCACCTTCAATCTTTTGTGCCTTGCATAAAACAACTTTTTGATACTCTTTTGGAATGAAGCAAGAGATGCACATGGCATGTGAAGCACAGTTGATTTAAAGGGTTTTAAATGGAAAATCTTAAAGAAAAGGTCATGAGGACTTGTACATAGATTTGGAAGAAGAACTCATCTCAAATTAGTTGAAGAGAATAATAAAATCAGGAAGAGCCTCGTAGGCGTCAATCTAAGAACACTCTGATGTTTTGATTGGTCTTCAAGTGTTCCCAAGATAATATTTCATGGGCAAATTTGTTTTTAGGCTCTTTTAGCAAGTGATTGAAAGCTAGTTCTCACCAATTTTGAGAGAAAGCCAAATTCATTTGTTTATAGGAAAATCACCCTACGACCAAATAATGTTTTCCCACCAATTTTTAAACCAAACGATGGCTGTCAATAAAAAATCATGATTTCCTATTTCCATGGCCCAATTTTCCTTAAACCAAACAAGCTGCAATATCTTGCCACCTTTGTGCTTTTGAGTTTTTGATGACCATGAGTTGCTCCTCCCAAAGCGAAATCGTCCTCCTTTTTACTTCTTAATTATGAGTTCAATCATCTATAAATGCCTTTTGATGATTCTTTAAACATATCATCACTATGAACGATGGCGTCGCGAGCTCTCCTTTTGGCAGATTTCCCTGCATTGGGGGGGGGAAACAAGCTGATGAATCAGATTTCGTACAAAGAACAAAGAAGAAGATGAGAGGTGATCTTGTTACGATTGATGTAACTAGGCAAGAACGAGGTAAGGATTCCTTTGCGAGGAAGGTGATTGGGGAGAATCCGGTAGAAGAGGAGAAGAAGAGTAGTGTGATGGGTCTGGGAATTTTAGTAGTGCATCATGTAAAGAGGAAATGAAGATCCCTGAAATTATTATTTCAGAAGAAGGTAGAAAGAAATTAAGAAAGCCCTATGAGAAGAGTTTGATAGTCAAGTTACTAGGATTGAGTCTTAGCTTCAGATCACTGGAGCCTAAACTACAGACAATGTAGGGGAAGCACGGATCAATCTCAGTGATAGATCTGAACAATGATTTTTTTGTGGTAAAATTCTCTGGCTGGAAGGATTATGGGAGGGCTCTAGGGGAGGGACGATGGCTGACTACTGACCATTACTTGACTCTTAGGAAGTGGAAAGATAATTTTAATCGAAATACGGAGGCTATCAAAGATGTGTTAGTATGGATTCGACTATCAGATCTACCTATTGAATGCTCTGAGGAGGAAGTGTTACAAGCAATCAGTGACTGGGTGGGGTAGACAGTAAAGGTGGATGCCACAACATTGCTTCAAACCAGAGGAAAGTTTATGAGATTGGGAGTTCAGGTAGACTTGACAAAACCTTTAATGCCTCAGTTTATTATGAATGGCAGAGAATACAATATAGAGTATGAGGGATTGCATCTCTTATGTCACCATTGTGGGAAATATGGGCATGTAGAAAAGAACTGGGTTGAAAAACAAGAAGAAATGAAGAACCAGGGGACAGATGTAGGTATGAATGAGGAAGAAAGTTTGTTTGGTACCTGGTTGGTGGGACAGAAGAGAAGGGGGTTTAGGAGGAATGGAGGGGATAGAAAGGATCAAGAGAGCGGTGCAAGAAAGTTCAATGGCTCGCATTTTGAGGGGTTGGAGGTTGAGGAAACTACTGAATCTAAAGAGGCCGGTGTAAAGGCTATTGCACTAATAACCACTCTAGTTGAAGATGAGTTTGAAAGTAAGGAATGTAGATAGTAAAGCGTGGGAAGAAGTTGCTGAGGAGTGGAGACTGGAGGTAGCAAATAGAAGGTTTATGGAGGAGATGGTTACAGAAAAGAAGGGGGTAAGGAGGGTGGCTAAGGAAAGATCCATTGTGGAAGAACAGAACAACCTTGAAACTGTGCCGGTTAGTGACGGAGGAAGAACTAGAGCTGCACTGAGAGAACTAAATCAGAATGTCATGCATATAGATATGGTATGTGATGATAGAAGTTTGGAGGTATGTGGATTTAGTGGGGGTAGGCCTCCGAATGAAGATACTTGCCTTAATGGAGGTGGATTGAAAGTTGTTTCAGACCTGTTTATAGAGGATGGTGAAGGAAGTGGATTGATGAGACTTGACTAGTTCCCCTTTTTTTGGTTGGTTAATGATGAATAAACAAATATTAGTGTGGAATTGTAGGGGTGTAGGTGGAAGAGATGTGGGAAGGGAGCTGAGATTGATAATTCAAATGAAGAGGCCTGAGAATATAGTCCTTTTAGAGACTAGAGTTCCTGCTAGAAAAGCCAGTGGTTTTTTTTTTTCAGAAATTAGGCTCTAATAATGTGGTGGCAATTGAAGGTTTGGGGTTTGTTGGAGGGATCTGGGTAGCGTGGAACGAGGATAGGGTCAGAATTAATTGTTTAGAGAAGAAGCAACAGTATGGTGTGTTTAATATCAGCTTGGCAAATGAGAAGCCTTGGGTGGTAGTCTTTGCTAATGTTTCGCCAAGGGATAAAGAGAAAAGAAAATTTTGGGAGGATACAAGGTTGATGGCAGAGCGTATGACTATTCCATGGATTGTTATTGGTGACCTAGATGATGTAAGGGGAGAAAGTGAAAAGAAAGGGGAAGCTCCTATTAATTTAAGAAGATGCAGCAATTTTGATGAGAGGATTAACAGGTGTGGCTTGCTAGAGATAGAAAGCTATGGTAATTGGTTCGCTTGGAGAGGACCTTTAATCACGGGATATCAACGACTTTATAAAAAGTTAGATAGTGGCTTTGTAGTGAAGGTTGGAAATTCAGATTCCCAGATGCAATTGTAAGAGTGTTAGCTCAACTTGCAAGTTCAGATCATCATCCTTTATTGTTGTGTTTGGAAGAGGAGAACAGAAGTGGATTTAGATCATCTCGTTTTGAAGCAGCCTGGATGATGCATGACACTTTTGAAGGTGAAATTAGGAGATCGTGGAGGAAAGGAGGGGATGTAGATGAGAATTTGAGGGGTTTACAAGAGTCTTTATCTATCTGGAATAGAGAAGTGTTTTGTAACATTTTTTTTTCCAGAAAACAGAGACTAAATGCTAGAATTGTTGGAATACAGCGAAGACTAGGTAACTCCATTCAGCCTATTGAGCATCTAAGTAAGCTGGAAAAAGAGTTCCAAAAAAGTAGTTGTGGTTTCAGAAATCATGAAGTAGTTGGATTAATGATGGCGATAGGAACAAAAAATATTACCATATGTAAATAGTAGTTAGGTGTAGGAAGAATAAAGTGACTATGTTGAGGGATGATAAAGGGAATTGGGTTGGAGAAGCAAGCGTATTGCAATCCTTACTTGTTGACTTCTATACAAGTTTATTTCAGGAAGATGGGGTTGGTATTCCATCTCTACATTTAGAGATCTCGTTCCCTCAGGTGGAAAATAATGTTTGGGAAGAAATGGAGGGGATGGTGACTGAAGAAGAGATTAAGAGAGCTATGTTTAATATTGGAGCTTATAAAGCTTCAGGAATTGATGGATTTCCTACAATTTTCTTTCAAAAGGAATGGCATGTAGTGGGAGAGGAAGTGGTAGATTTTATTCAAAGGGTTTGGAAGGGGCAAGTGGATATTGGAAGTATGAATGGCACGCTACGTACTTTAATTCCAAAAATAGAGAGACCAAAGACAATCAAGCAATTTAGACCAATTACCCTGTGTAATGTTATATATCAATGCATCCCTAAGATTTTAGTGGGACGCCTAAAAGCGGTGTTGAGAAATTTAATTGGCCCAAATCAGGTGAGTTTTATCCCAGGAAGGCATATTCAAGATAATGTCATAATGGTTCATGAATTGTTGCAAACTATGAGAATTATGAAGGGAAGGAGGGGCTTTTTTACAATCAAGATAGATTTAGAAAATGCCTACAACCGAGTTAGATGGAACTTTATTGAGAAAGTGCTCAAACAGGTAGGAATGGCAGAGGGGATGCGAAGATTGATCATGGGATGTGTTCGTACTGTTGCTATGCAAGTTTTGTGGAATGGAGTTAAAATAGAGAATTTTATGCCTACTAGGGGAATTAGCCAGGGAGACCCCTTGTCTCCCTATATTTTTGTTTTGACGATGGAGAAGCTAACACACATAATCCAAGAGGCTGCTGTGAAGGGGACTTGGAAGACTATTCGTGTAGGAAGAAGGGGGCCTGAGGTGATCCATTTAATGTTTGTTGATGATTTAATTCTCTTTGGTGAGGCTTCAATAGAGCAAATAAAAGTGGTAATGGACTGTCTAAATAAATTTTGTGGCTGCTCTAAGAAGTAAATAAAAATAAGTTTGTAATCTTTTTTTCAAGAAATGTTGCAGCTAATGTTAAGGAGGAAATAGTGAGGGAAGCAAGATTTTGTTTGACTAATGATTTAGCTACCTATTTAGGTGTTCCTACGTATTATGGAAGGAGCAAGGTTCGTTGTTTTGGAGGTCTAGTAGAGAAGGTGAAAAGAAGATTACAGGGATGGAAAATAAATACCTTGAATATCGCTGGGCAGGTAACTCTTGCTAAATCTGTGATTGGATCTACACCAATTTTTCCTATGATAGTGTCAAGACTTCCTAAGCAAGTTTTAGGGGAGATTAAGAAGGCACAAAGGGCTTTCATTTGGGGGCACACTACTGATGAAAGGAAGATGCATCTCGTCAATTGGGAGGTGCTTCAAAAGCCAAAGGAGAATGAGGGATTAGGGGTGTTAAGTTTAAAAGACATGAATTGTGCCTGTTTGATGAAGCTCAGATGGAAACTGAGGAGCAATAGTGAAGGTCTATGGGTGGATGTATTGAGGCACAAATATAATGGAGGGGTGAACTTTGGAAGTGAGTTGAAAATTCCGCAGAATGCGTCCAGTCTTTGGAAAGACATTGGTAGAGTATGGGAGGAGCTAAATAAGGGGATTTGGTAGGGAGTTGAATCGAGAGAAAATACAACATTTTGGAAGGACAAGTGGGTTGATTAGGATATCATACTGTCGAATGAAAGAAGAAGGGAAATAGGAATGGAGGAAGCTCATTGGGTGGTTGCAGATGCAGTGAATGAGAATGGGCAGTGGAAGTGGAACCTATTACATAATCTGTTATCTGAGCAAGCCCGTAGAAGATTACAAGCCATTTGCCCCCCTCAGAGTGGTGAGAGGGAAGACAGAATCATTTGGGGATCAAGCAATCTGAAGGATTATAGGGTCAAAAGTGGGTACCAACAAGTGAGGGGAAACCATTTAGGGAGAAGTGAGGAGATATGGAAAACAATCTGGAAATGAAGAGGTCCGAAAAGGATTCGCTACTTTCTTTAAATGCTGGCCTGGGATAGGCTAAACACGAATAGTGTAAGGCATAGAAGATGGGGTGTGGCAGGGGAGTGCGAAGTTTGCAAATAGTGGGAAACTCCGTTGCATGTAATTTGTGATTGTGAGAAAGCAAAGAATGTGTGGTTGTATCTTTTACAGCGACCTCAAGCAGATTTTTTTTATACAGAATCTAAGAGAATGGTTACAGAAGAAGTTGAGAGATGGAAAATTAATAAATGGCTTACCGTGGAATGTTGTGTTTGGTATAGCCTGTTGGAGAATCTGGAAGCAGTGTAATCAGCAGATCTTTAAACGTCAAAGAAAGGATCTGGAAAGTTGGCACATCTGGAACTTTGCAATGGAAATAGTTAAAACTAAATCCTTCCAAAGGAACCCCGTTGAGGCAAGAGAGGAAGAAGTGAGAATGGTTTGGGTAGCTCCAGCTGAAGGTTGGGTCAAGATGAATTTGATGGATTGAGTAGAGGAAACCTAGGTCGCGCTGCATGTGGGGGAGTTATTCGGGATCATAAAGGAAGGTGGGTAGCAGGCTATTGCAGAGATGTGGGTTGGTGTACAGCCTTTAAAGCTGAATGTTGGGGGGTGGCAAAGGGATTAAAGGTGGCAAGAGATCTGGGTCTTCAAAAAATCCACCCTGAAACTAATTCTGAGGAGCTGATCGTTGCTCTAAAAAGGAAGGAAGTGGTAGGGGAGAAGCCTCTTGACTGTGTGAGAATGGTAAGAGAAACTGTAGCTCTTTGTAGACACTTTAGAGTATCTCTAGTTCGCAAATCTGGTAATCAGTGTGCTGATGCCATGACAAAACTAAGCTTCTCGACAGCGATGAGTAGGGACCGTCGGCTATTCCTTCAGATCCCGTTGGAAGTGGCTAACGCATTAGGTGAAGGACAGGAAAGAAGGAACTTGGGGGACACGGGTTAAGGTTGTTTGATCTTGGTTTGTTTTTTTTTTTTTTCCAGTTTAGGCCTTGAGTCTCCCTGTTATCAAAAAAAAAAATCATATCATCACTATGAAACTATTAAAAATTCATATTTATTGGGGATTATTTTCATAATATTTCTCAAGACAAAATTTGATCTAAAAATATTTTCCCATAATTTTCAAAACTTGCCTTATTCATGGCTAAAATTCGCATAAAATTTTCTTTAAGATAAATTATCCATTTTTAGAGCATGAAACCATTTTTATAAATTGACATAAATTATAAAATAATTTTCCCTATTTGTTTCACAATTATTTCAGGCTTCATAGTTTTTTTTTCCCTAATTACATTTGTCTAAGTATTCTTTTTTTAGGCAAAAATTTCAATAAATATTCAAAATCCCTTTTTTGAGGAAAGTTTCCCCTTCATACCTCAATTAAGTCTCAAATATGGTTTAGGGAATTATTCTCCACCTTCCTGAGTTTTGAGGGATTTTTTCTCCTAAAATTTTAACTTAATTTCTAACTTTTTTGAAAAATTATGCTTTTTCCCATCGTGAGATAAAAGTAAACACAATATTGCATTTGTGTGTCTACTATTTTTTTTTTTGGCCATTGACTAACCTTAATCATGCCTTTAGGGTCTATTTGGTTTGAGAGGAGGGTAAAGGAGGGAGGGGAGGGAAAATTTTATCCTCATCTTGTTTGGTTTAATTAAAAAAAAAAGGAAGGAAAGGATATTTAATGATCCCTTGTTTGGTTCAAGAAGGGGAGGGAGGGATAATAACAATCAATTTACCATGTTATCCTTACATATTAGTTTATATTTTTTATTGATATATTATATAAATTAATTTACATCTTAATTTAAATTATATAATTTAACAAAAATTTAGTCTTATCATGTTAATATGTGCATTAAAAAATTGGTACAATAATTTTTTATTCTAATTAATGTAATAATATATTTAAAATAATCAAATTAACGAATTTTATATGCTCTAAGAAAAATAAAATTTTATTCTCTTTAGGCTATCCTTTTTTTTCAACTTTAAAATATATTTAATAAATAATATATTTATAAAAAACAATTAATTTTATAATATTATAATTTTTTATTTAAATAATTTTTTTATTTTTAAATAATTTTTTATAATATATTTTTTAATTATAATAATATTTATTTTTTATTTTTTTCTTAGGATAATATATTTTTTATTTAAAATAAATATTACAATAATATATTTTATGAGTAGTAGTGGAATATTAAAAAAAATTATAAGAATATACTAGTCCAAAAATTTAACTCCCTTCCAAAAACCCTCAATTTAGAGGGGAGCTAAAATGGGAAGGGGTAAGAGAGGAGAGGGGAGGGGAGGAGACATTTTGGCTTTCCTCCCCTCTAAAATTTTTAACCAAATGAGGGGAAGGGTTCATTTCCCCTCCCCTCCAACCAAACAAACCCTTAGCCTTTAGTCTTTATTTGAAAAGGTCAAATGTTGTAATATAAAAGTGGATTGTTGGGAAAAACAATATATTCCTCCGGTTCTAAATATAAGACCTTATACACACTAGTATAAAGGTCTTATATTTAGGACCGAGGAGTATAACTATAATCAACATTAGCTCAATTTTGTGCTGTATTGTGGCTCCAAGTGTCCAGATTTTAAAATCTTGAAAGACGCTGACAATTTTAAGTGGCTCATTTCAAAACTAGACATAAGTCAAATAGTTCGGTTCACAGCCGTTTTAAATCTTTTATGTCTATTCTCTTTTACTCTTTCCAATCTCGCCTCAAAGCTCATCTTTTGCGTTATTCATCTTTTGCGTTATTCTATTTTCAATGTTTTTACTTTATTAGGAAAAAAAATTTAAACATTAAAAAAAAATCCAACTTAATCTGCTTTTTTTTTTTGGGAGCTGGACAACTTAGGGCTTGATTGGTTTTGTTTTCTGTTTTTTTGTTTTCAAAATAATTTTATAAAACTGTTTTTTAAAACAAATTTTGAGGGAAAAAAAAAGAACATGTTTGGATGATTATTTTTAAAAACAATAAAATATAAAAATTTGTTTGGATGATGAATTTTAAAAATTATTTTTAAAATCAACTTAAAAGTTTAAAATTAATTCCTATTATAATGTAAACCAATTGGATAAAGCGGGTAAAAAAACTAATTTAATAAAAAATCAAATAGAATAACCAATAAATAACACAAAAATGATTTACTACAAATAATAACATGGTTAAAATTTAAATGGACATTGTTTTAAGCAAAAGTCCCAAGCCCGGATAAAGGAGGAAGGTTGTGTTAGGCCTAAAGGAGGAAAGTTGTGTTAGGCCCTCGACAGCCAACGTAAAAACCCGTCGAATCTCATGAACATGGATTGTTTTAAACAAAGTGTCAAAAATAATATCTAATCATATCAACATATAATTCGTAGAATTGTAATGTGTAACATCCTTAGAAAAAAAAAAGAGTTATTTTTTTTCAAAAAAAAATATTATATAATATTTTATTACTATTAAATAATAATATTTTTATTAAAACAAAAAAAAATGGGGGAAGGGGACAACACGTTCAGCTTTCCACCGAAAGCTGAACGTATTTAAGAGGAAGAGGAATTTGGGGGGAGAGTTTTTGACTGAAGGAAGAAAAATATGGAAGGAGCATTAATGAATGAGGAAAAATTGAGGAAGGACGGTTGGCAATTTGAAGAATAAAAAGAGAGAGTGATCGCAAAGAATGGAAAGAAAGAGTGAGATGCGCAGAAGGAGAGATTGAGAGAAAAGAAGAGAAGTGTTAGCAGTTTGAAGAGTCATACAAGCTTTGGGGATCATATAGGTACATTAAACACTTCTTTCTATTAAATTTTTCCTTATGAATATTTCCTATATATTTAGAGCTTTATATTAGTAGTATCATTATAATGTTTAGAGAAAATTTTGTGATCTGGGTATAGAGTAAGTATTGAGTTTTGAAAATATTTGACCGTAGAAATTTAAAGATTTATTATTAAGAAATTTTAATCGGTTTAGATTTGTCCATTTATTACCCGTGATATTTAAAATCAAATTTATTTTGTTGAAAAATCTGTCACTTATGATATATATCATATTTATACCGATTAAAATTAAGTTAAATAATTTATTTGGGTTGTTTGATATATTATTGAAATTTTAATCGGTTTATAGTTGTTTATTGATTGTTTTGAGAATTTTAAACTAAGATTTTAGTTGAAAAATGTATTATTCAAGATATATAGAATGTTTTTACCGATTAAATTTAAGTTAAATAACTTATTTGGGTTACTTAATATATTATTGATATTTTAATCGGTTTAAAATGTAAAATAGGTTAAGACTATATTATTAGAAAAATTTTGAAACTGGAAACTTAAGTTATAAATTGAGATTCTTACAATATTAGATAAAAACAATATTTTATAAATATTTATAATTTAAATGAGTTATTTGGGTAGAGAAAAATTGTTATTTGAAGTAAGAATTTTTGGATAGTAAATATAAGTATAGATATTATTAATAATAAATTCTATGTAATTTAAGTTAATTATTTGTATGTATATTAAATTGTATCTATATTATTTGTAGATTATCTTGTACTTCGGAGTTTGTAATTTGCGCTCTTATTTCTCAAGCTGTGAGGTTAAGCTTGGAGTAGAGGTAACCGGGGTTAATTTATTTTATATACACGCTTTGGATTGTAAGGTGTTTATTATGTTTTTATTTTCTTAGTTAATTTGTAAAAGTATGCCTGTGAATAAAATATATATTTTATTATATGACAAATTTTGGTGAAGTGGGAAGTATGTTGATCTAATTATGTTTGAGTTGTGTTTTATTGGAAATTGTGTTTTCGTGTAGTACTGAATTTAATATACTAATATTATGTTATTAAATGAAATGAAAATGTGTTATACTTTGTTTGAAATTATATCATCTTACTTTGAAGATTGTGATATTTTGATTTATATTGTGACTATGCATGGGGTTCATATGTGGAGGATGGGATTTTGTTATGTGGAGGATAATTGTTCTTGAAGCCCGCGCGGCATGCCTACACTACGGATCCCAGTGTTTGGCCTTATTGTTAGACCCCTGTAGTTCTTCCTTTTCCTTGGCCCGGAATTGAGAATGAACTCTTGGGTAGACACCTCTTGCACCATAGTCCATTCTTGGGCGGTGTAGGTACAGGAGGGGGCCCGTTGCTTGATGTGAGTGGGGTGACCTTTGGCCGGGTTACTCAGCACAGAAAGCCCGGGTCCTTGTCAAGGAGTCATAAGGAGGAGCAAGGTGATGGGAGGGCATATTTCATTGTGTTGTTGCATATATGTACTTTTATATGAATTGTGTTGTGGATGGAGAGATATACTCTTTTTATGTGATTATATCTATTAAAGTACCATTTATTTCTTAAACTATATTTAAGCACTACTTCACCAACTTGCCATCCTACTTGTATATGTCATAAATTAATACTTGGTTACTGGGACTTTACGTCTCACCCCGCTGTTCATCAATACTTTTCAGGAGAGCCATCTAGTTTGGCTCGGCGCGAAGGGAAGCAACCAGAGGCATAGGCGAGCATAGCCTAGTAGTCCTCTTTTGGTTTAGGCATGTAATGTTATGTATATTGCCATCTTAGGGCCCACAACTGTGTTGACATATACTTTCTTTTGTTTGGATGACTGTATTTGATGGAATACTGTTAAAATGGCTGCAGGCCATAAGACTCTGCTGTGTGCGATGTATGACTTATGGGCTGGGTTGAGCACCCTGTGTTTCTTGTGCCCTAAGTCTTTGTGGGATGAATATTATGTTGGGCTTGTGGGCGGTTACTGTGCCTTGAGGTTTTGTTCTACATTGTTAAACCCATGGATGTTTTATGCATCCTGAGCTACTTGGGACGTTTTCGAAATAAGTCAAACTCTTTATAACCATGGTAGTATTTTAACACTCTAACTTAATTCTTTTTCTACCATGGTTATCATTTTAAAAATGGTTTTATAATTATATATTAAGAAGAGGTTTTTTCAACTTGGTATCAGTTTCAAGGTTTTGTGTGATCCCTGGTGCATTTCATATTGTATCTATGGCAATATACAATCATTACACTTATGCTTCCCTTCAATTTCTCCTCTTTTCTCCTTTCTTAAGTGTTTACCTTTCTTTTTGTGGGGTTCTACCCTTAGGTGGGGAGAGATGGTAAGTACCAGGCGTACTGTTGATGCTGGTGAGGGAAGTCGCCAGCCACCTAATGGCAATAGTCAAGCTAATCAGACTAATGATGAGATCTTAAGACAATTACAAGCTGTAATTCTTTCCCTTGACGAGCGGGTTAGAAAAATGGAAGATAACCGAAGGAACAAGGAAGCTGAAATCTCTCCAGAGATGGAAGGTCATCATGATGGTGATAGTATTGGACATAATGGGGGACAGTCAAATGAGCAGGAAACAGTAAATGAAGAAGAGGTTGCTGAGGTGTTACCAGACATTCCTATAACAACAGTCTGGAAGTATATAGGCCGCTTCAACCCTCCAACTTTTAAGGGTAGTCTGAATTCTGTAGAAGCAGAGGCTTGGATAGACCGATTGGAGACCCTGTTTAGTACGGTGAATTGTAGTTCCCAGCAAAAGGTGCAGGTTGCCAAGGTTTGTTAGAAGGAAGGGCAAAGCAATGGTGGGATAGTGTGAGACCCATGGATGATAGAAGGATGGTTTGGAATCAATTCAAGGATTTGTTCTTTGATTACTTCTTTCCAATGGAGGTCAGACAACAGAAGGAAGCGGAGTTCTATGCCCTGCAACAGGGAAACATGCATGAGGATCAATTTATTGGCCAATTCATAGATCTATCCAAGTATGTGGCATACCTAGATCGTTATCGAAACACTTGGTGGATGGCTGTTCAGTTAATGGAGAAAGCCAGACCAGAGATTAAGCAACAATTGGCCACAGTAGAGGTCACTACCTTTGAAAAGATGTGTACTCATATCCGTCAAGTTGCACGGAGGATGAGAGAAGCTGATGAGTATCGTAGAAGAGACAACCTTGGGCGCTTTAGCCGCCAAACCGGTGCCTCAGGATCTGGAGGACGATTTAGTGGCTATACGGGACCCACTGGTGGAGTGGGGAAGAAAACTAGCCAATCAGGTGCTAGTAGTTTTGGCAACAGAAAACAATCCTATCAAGGAAACTCTCAGCAGAGGAACCGCTTCCACGGCGCTCAGACCCAGAGAAGTCAAGGAGGAGGGAGTCAAATTTCCCAGCGTGGCTCTGTAGCATCTACTCCTAGTGTGACTAACCATCTCGCTTGTCCTAGATGTGGGAGGCAACACTTCGGAGAGTGCTGGATTTGCTTTAATTGTGGAGAGCCGGGACACTTAGCTAAGTATTGCAACAAGGCTAAGAGAAACAACCAGACCCCTAGGTCATCTGTACCAGGGCGTGTGTTCGCCATGACTTCTGAAGAGGCGGGTGCATCACCTAACTTGATTCGAGGTAACGTACTCTTACAAAATCATCCCTTGTGTGCTATGTTTGACTCAGGGGCAACCCACTCTTTTGTGTCCTTTGATTGTGTTGAAAGATTAAGACTGTGTATGGATGATTTGTCTTATGTTCTGTGTGTGACTACTCCGGCGGGAGCAACCGTGAGAACTGTTAAAGTTTGCAAAGGTTTGACCTTTGTATTTAAGGGTCGGGAAACGACCATTGACTTAATTTGTTTGCCCCTTCGAGGCATAGATATTATTGTGGGTATGGATTGGTTGTCAGCTAATAGAGCTACCTTAGATTGTAAGAAGAAGTCTGTTATGTTGCACTCAATCTCAACATCCGTAGACGTATCAGATGTTCCTATTTTGTTGTCAGCAGCTCAAGTAGTGCAATGTGTTAAGAAGGGGTGCCAGGCTTTTGTTGTCTTTTTCTCTATACAAGCTGAAAAAGAGGGGAATATAGACCAAATTGAAGTAGTAAGTGAGTTTCCCGATGTGTTCCCTGAAGAAATATCTGGGTTACCTCCAGTACGGGAGGTGGAGTTTTCCATTGAGTTAGCTCCAGGAACCGAACCTATCTCTAAGGCCCCGTATAGAATGTCACCCTCTGAGTTAGCAGAATTAAAGAAACAGATTGAGGATCTGTTGGAAAAAGGTTTTATTAGACCGAGTGTTTCTCCATGGGGTTCACCCGTGTTGTTTGTGAAAAAGAAAGATGGCAGTTTGAGGTTGTGCATAGATTATCGTCAATTGAATAAGGTCACAATTAAGAACAAATATCCCCTTCCGAGAATTGATGACTTGCTTGACCAGCTTGTCGGTTCTTCTGTGTTCTCCAAAATTGATTTGAGATCCGGCTATCATCAGTTAAGGGTCAGGTCTGAAGACATTCCCAAGACCGCTTTTCGAACTCGTTATGGTCACTACGAGTTTCTGGTGATGCCTTTTGGATTAACAAACGCTCCAGCAGTGTTTATGGACTATATGAATAGAATCTTCAGGCCTTACTTGGATCAATTTGTTGTAGTCTTCATTGATGATATCCTCATATACTCCAAGAGTGAAGAGGAGCATCGTAAACACCTTCGCATTGTATTACAAATATTAAGAGAGAACAAGTTGTATGCCAAACTGAGCAAATGTGAGTTTTGGTTAAAGGAGGTAAAGTTTTTAGGTCATGTGGTATCTGCCAAAGGTGTGGCCGTGGATCCGAGTAAAGTAGAGGCAGTGTTGAAATGGGAGACTCCCAAGTCTGTGACTGAAGTAAGGAGCTTTGTGGGGTTAGCCGGGTATTACCGTCGTTTCATTAAAGGCTTTTCTCAGATAGCTATGCCATTAACTAACTTGACAAAGAAGGACAAACCCTTTGTATGGACTGAAAAGTGTGAAGCTGCATTTCAAGAGCTGAAAAGAAAGTTGACCACGGCACCTGTCCTTACCATACCTGAACCATCAAGACCGTATACAGTGTACACAGATGCATCTTTGAAAGGTTTGGGCTGTGTATTAATGCAAGATAATAAGGTAGTAGCTTATGCATCGAGACAATTAAGACCTCACGAAGAGAATTACCCCACCCATGACTTGGAACTAGCAGCAATTGTGTTTGCCTTAAAGATTTGGAGACACTATCTTTATGGAGCGCAATTTGAGATTTTCAGTGACCATAAAAGTTTAAAGTACCTGGTAGACCAGAAAGAATTAAATAATCGTCAGCGAAGATGGATGGAATTCTTAGCAGATTATGATTTTGAGTTGAAGTACCATCCAGGGAAGGCTAATGTGGTGGCTGATGCATTAAGTAGAAAAACCGCGCATGTCTTCTACATGAGTGTAACAGAGCATCACTTGCTGGAGGAGTTAACTGAAATACCAATTATGGGTAAGATGACAGAGACGACTGTTACTCTAAATGCAGTACTTGGGGACTATGACTTCTTTAAAGAGTTGAAGATAGCCCAAATGGAGGATGAGGAATTAATGAGGACAAGAGAAGAAGTAGAAAATGGTGCAGTATCGGATTATGACATTGGAGATGAAGGAATCTTAAGGTACAAGAGAAGAATTTGTGTTCCAGATAATGAAGAAATGAAAAAGATAATTCTTGAGGAGGCACATAGAACTAAGTACACCATTCACCCTGGAATAACCAAAATGTACCATGATTTGAAGCAAGAGTATTGGTGGCCAGGGATGAAGCGTGATGTGACTAATTTTGTACTCAAATGCTTGACTTGTCAGAAAGTCAAAATTGAACACCAAAAGCCATCGGGTTTAATCCAAACCTTGGAAATCCCTAAGTGGAAATGGGATAGCATTTCAATGGACTTTATCACGAGTTTGCCTAGAACTCCAGCTGGTTATGATGCAATCTGGGTCATTGTAGATAGACTAACAAAGTCAGCCCACTTTCTCCCAATCAAGTCTACTTATTCTATGGAAAAACTTGCTCAATTGTATGTAGATGAGATTGTGAGATTGCATGGGATACCAAAAGATATCATATCAGACTGAGATCCAAGGTTCACCTCGAACTTTTGGAAGGCGATGCAAGGAGCTTTTGGCACAAAGTTGAAGTTCAGTACGGCATATCATCCCCAAACTGATGGTCAAACTGAGAGGACCATCCAAACTCTTGAGGACATGTTGAGAGCTTGTGCAATTGAACTTCCAGGTAGCTGGGATCGCCATCTTCCATTAGCAGAATTTGCCTACAACAATAGTTATCATACAAGCATCCAGATGGCACCTTACGAAGCATTGTATGGAAGAAAGTGTCGATCACCACTGTGTTGGACTGAATTGAGTGAAAGAACCATTGTTGGACCTGACTTTGTGGATGCAACTACAAAGAAAATTGAATTAATCAAACAGAGGTTAATGACCGCTCAGAGTCGCCAGAAGAGTTATGCAGATAGACGACGGAGGCCTTTGGAATTTGAAGTGGGTGACCATGTATTTTTGAAAGTTTCACCAGTGACTGGCATTGGTAGATCCATCAAGGCCAAGAAACTGACTCCTCGATATCTTGGACCTTACGAGATTTTGGAGCGAATTGGGCCGGTCGCTTATCGAATTGCTTTACCACCGCATCTCTCTAATGTGCACAATGTCTTTCATGTGTCACAACTCAAGAAGTATCATCCAGATCCATCTCATGTGATCGAGCCTGAGGAGATCGAGTTACAGGAGAATCTCACCTTTCGAGCTGAGCCTGAACGCATTCTAGATGTCAAGGATAAGCAACTCCGAAATAAAACAATCCGGTTACTTAAGGTTTTCTGGAAAGGCATGTCTCCTGGTGATGCCACTTGGGAAACCGAGGAGCGAATGCGGCGTGATTTTCCACATCTATTCTCTTAAGTATGTGTTCATGTGTTGTTTGTCTACTATCTTATGTGAAAATAGTATGTGTGTGGTGATATTATCTGTTTTTCAATGTTGTATTGTGTTGTTAAATTTTTATACGTGTCGCGAATTTTGGGGACAAAATTCTATTTAGGTGGGGAGAGCTGTAACATCCTTAAAAAAAAAAAAGTTATTTTTTTTCAAAAAAAAATATTATATAATATTTTATTACTATTAAATAATAATATTTTTATTAAAACAAAAAAAAATGGGGGAAGGGGACAACACATTCAGCTTTCCACCGAAAGCTGAACGTATTTAAGAGGAAGAGGAATTTGGGGGGAGAGTTTTTGACTGAAGGAAGAAAAATATAGAAGGAGCATTAATGAATGAGGAAAAATTGAGGAAGGACGGTTGGCAATTTGAAGAATAAAAAGAGAGAGTGATCGCAAAGAATGGAAAGAAAGAGTGAGATGCGCAGAAGGAGAGATTGAGAGAAAAGAAGAGAAGTGTTAGCAGTTTGAAGAGTCATACAAGCTTTGGGGATCATATAGGTACATTAAACACTTCTTTCTATTAAATTTTTCCTTATGAATATTTCCTATATATTTAGAGCTTTATATTAGTAGTATCATTATAATGTTTAGAGAAAATTTTGTGATCTGGGTATAGAGTAAGTATTGAGTTTTGAAAATATTTGACCGTAGAAATTTAAAGATTTATTATTAAGAAATTTTAATCGGTTTAGATTTGTCCATTTATTACCTATGATATTTAAAATCAAATTTATTTTGTTGAAAAATCTGTCACTTATATATATATATCATATTTATACCGATTAAAATTAAGTTAAATAATTTATTTGGGTTGTTTGATATATTTTGAAATTTTAATCGGTTTATAGTTGTTTATTGATTGTTTTGAGAATTTTAAACTAAGATTTTAGTTGAAAAATGTATTATTCAAGATATATAGAATGTTTTTACCGATTAAATTTAAGTTAAATAACTTATTTGGGTTACTTAATATATTATTGATATTTTAATCGGTTTAAAATGTAAAATAGGTTAAGACTATATTATTAGAAAAATTTTGAAACTGGAAACTTAAGTTATAAATTGAGATTCTTACAATATTAGATAAAAACAATATTTTATAAATATTTATAATTTAAATGAGTTATTTGGGTAGAGAAAAATTGTTATTTGAAGTAAGAATTTTTGGATAGTAAATATAAGTATAGATATTATTAATAATAAATTCTATGTAATTTAAGTTAATTATTTGTATGTATATTAAATTGTATCTATATTATTTGTAGATTATCTTGTACTTCGGAGTTTGTAATTTGCGCTCTTATTTCTCAAGCTGTGAGGTTAAGCTTGGAGTAGAGGTAACCGGGGTTAATTTATTTTATATACACGCTTTGGATTGTAAGGTGTTTATTATGTTTTTATTTTCTTAGTTAATTTGTAAAAGTATGCCTGTGAATAAATATATATTTTATTATATGACAAATTTTGGTGAAGTGGGAAGTATGTTGATCTAATTATGTTTGAGTTGTGTTTTATTGGAAATTGTGTTTTCGTGTAGTACTGAATTTAATATACTAATATTATGTTATTAAATGAAATGAAAATGTGTTATACTTTGTTTGAAATTATATCATCTTACTTTGAAGATTGTGATATTTTGATTTATATTGTGACTATGCATGGGGTTCATATGTGGAGGATGGGATTTTGTTATGTGGAGGATAATTGTTCTTGAAGCCCGCGCGGCATGCCTACACTACGGATCCCAGTGTTTGGCCTTATTGTTAGACCCCTGTAGTTCTTCCTTTTCCTTGGCCCGGAATTGAGAATGAACTCTTGGGTAGACACCTCTTGCACCATAGTCCATTCTTGGGCGGTGTAGGTACAGGAGGGGGCCCGTTGCTTGATGTGAGTGGGGTGACCTTTGGCCGGGTTACTCAGCACAGAAACCCGGGTCCTTGTCAAGGAGTCATAAGGAGGAGCAAGGTGATGGGAGGGCATATTTCATTGTGTTGTTGCATATATGTACTTTTATATGAATTGTGTTGTGGATGGAGAGATATACTCTTTTTATGTGATTATATCTATTAAAGTACCATTTATTTCTTAAACTATATTTAAGCACTGCTTCACCAACCTGCCATCCTACTTGTATATGTCATAAATTAATACTTGGTTACTGGGACTTTACGTCTCACCCCGCTGTTCATCAATACTTTTCAGGAGAGCCATCTAGTTTGG